CCAAAGAAATGAAACATTGTTTTGATATTTATTTTGTTTCGCTCTAGTCTCTCGTCCTATTCTTTGTGGAGTGGTGAGTTCTTAGGTTTAATTTTTTGTTTGGACTAGACGCGGGTACTGTGTATTTATGGGTGGATATTTTATTCCACTGCGGATTTGCTTTGTTGACTTTGTACTTGTCGGCAAGAAGAAAAATCAGTTCAATTTGTTTTGCAGGACAAAGAAAAATTTTTACCTTTTTTTTTTTGTACCCGCCTCTCTGTCTTATCCCCGAAGAAATGTTTGAAATCATTTGGGCACACATTGGGATTTACGCTCGCGTCAGTGTGTGTTTTTGGAATGAGATTGGATTCGAAATTCTCGGTTGACAGTTCTTCTGAGCATTGAACTGATTAATTTATCCGTTCAAAAAATATTTTTGTTTTCGAAAGCATGCATTTAAAAAAGTGTCAAAGGGAAATGAAAATTTTTAATGAAATATAAATATTTATAAAAAAGAAAAAGATGCATTGAAATGTATCAAATTGACACGTCTGCTGAATTTATAATATTTAATTTTATTAGTATTACATAACTAATATTAATGGATTAGATTATAAATTTTAATTTCATTCATTTCCTTCAAGTGGAATAGGGTTTTGTCCTTAAGCTTTTAGAAAATTCGTTTACAGAACACGGTGTTACAGTTGAACTAATTCGTTCAAATTCGTTAGAGTTGAACTAAATTAATTAATATTATTACTAATTAAGGGAACTAACTTAAGTTGAGTCTAATTAAAGGAACAAAAGTGAAAATGGAAGCTATGTTAATGAATCTATGTCATATGGAGGCACATTACATTTTTACATATCGTTTGGCCCAGTAAAAACAGAGCTTCTTAAAATTGTTCAGCTGGAACTGGAATTTACGAAACTAACTCAAATATAAATAAAAAATCTGCAAAATTCTCTAAAAAATATGATGAATCGTTAAAAAAATTATCATGGGAAATCAAACATATTTATTTCAAGTAATCAGGGATAGCTTTCTTAATATCCTGCAATAAAAGGAATTTGAAATTTTTATCAGAAATATATATATATATATATATATGTGCGTGTGTGTGTGTGTATGTGTGCGTGCGCGTGCGTGTGCATGTAATGTAGCGTTTTCAATGTCATTCTCAAATGGGTTAAAAACTGTTAATCAATGGTGATCAACAACGTTTAATTATTTTTTGCAAAGAGGAAATATTTCTTAAACATTTAATACAATACAAAGTTAAAAATTTGAGAGTCGCTGATTAATACGAGTAGCATAAAAACACATCATAAAGTGAAGATTGTTCTAATCAAAATTTCATATCTCTAACAAAATGCACTGATTATCTTGAATGGGAAATTTCCTATCTACGCAAAGCACCAGATCTAATTTCTCACTCTGAAAAAAAAAAAAAAGCAAGTTAATTGAAAGTGACCCATGACACTGCACAGGCCGGAGCTAAAAATATCGAATTTCACTAACAGCAGCTCTTACAGCGAAGGCCTAAAAACTTCATTCCACATGCACTTGCCGTAAGAACTGGGGACATTGGCGCAAGTACAGAAGAAGAAGAATAAGGAAATTAACAAAAAAGAAAAGAACGATAAAAAAAGGAGAAAGAGCGGGAAATTCGAAAGAAAGGGGCATCTTCAAGATAGAGAAACCGTCACTATTGATCCTCATCCTTTTTTTCATTCATTCATCCTTTCTTTTTTCAGGACTTATATCATTTCTTTCGTTTTTCCTCGCTATCGAGCAGTGTTGTACCCTTCATTGTTTTGCTTTGTTATTTCTTCTCTACCCGCGTTAGCTCGTGGACCCCCTCCCCCCTCTCCCCCAAAGAAATGAAACATTGTTTTGATATTTATTTTGTTTCGCTCTAGACTCTCCTCCTATTCTTTGTGGAGTGGTGGGCTCTTTGGTTTAATTTTCTGTTTGGACTAGACGCGGATACTGTGTATTTATGGGTGGATATTTTATTCCAGTGCGGATTTGCTTTGTTGACTTTGTACTTGTCGGCAAGAAGAAAAATCAGTTCAATTTGTTTTGCAGGACAAAGAAAAATTTTTACCTTTTTTTTTTTGTACCCGCCTCTCTGTCTTATCCCCAAAGAAATGTTTGAAATCACTTGGGCAAACATTGGGATTTACGCTTGCGCCAGTGTGTGTTTTTGGAATGAGATTGGATTGGAAATTCTCGGTTGACAGTTCTTGTGAACATTGAACTGATTAATTTATCCGTTCAAAAAATATTTTTGTTTTCAAATGCATGCATTTAAATCATATTCAAAGGGAAATGAAAATTTTTAATGAAGTATAAATATTTATAAAAAAAGCAAGAGATGTATTAAAATGTATCAAATTGACACATCTGCTAAATTTATAATATTTAATTGTGTTAGTATTACATAACTAATATTAATAGTTTAGATTATATATTTGAATTTTATTCAGTTCCTTCAAGTAGAAAAGAGTTTTGTCATTAAGGTTTCAGAAAATTCGTGTACAGAACACGGTGTTACAGTTGAATTAATTCGTTAAAATTCGTTCGAGTTGAACTAACTTAATTAATTAATATTATTACTAATTAAGGGAACTAACTTAAGTTGAGTCTAATTAAAGGAACAAAAGTGAAAATGTAAGTTTTATTAACGAATCTATGTTATATAAAAGCACATTAAATTTCTACATATCGTTTGGACAAGTAAAAACATAGCTTCATAAAAATTTCAACTCGTATTGGAATTTATGAAACTAACTCAAATATAAATGAAAAATGTGCAAAATTGTCTAAAAAATATAACGAATCGTTAAAAAAATTATGGGGGGAAATCAAACATATTTATTTCAAGTAATCAGGAATCCCTTCCTTGATATCCTGCAATAAAAGGGATTTGAAAATTTTATCAGAAATATAATATAATATATATGCGTGTGTGTAACGTTGCGTTTTCTAACGTCATTTTCAAATCGTTTAAAAACAGTTAATGATGATCAATGACGGTTAATTCATTTTACAAAGAGGAAATATTTCTCAAAAATTTATAGCAATACAAATTTAAAAAATTGAAAGCCACTGATTTATATGAGGAAAATAAAAACGTATAAAATGAAGATTGTTTTTAATCAATCAGGCAAAAGCTAAAAATATCGAATTTCACTAACAGCAGATCTTACAGCAAAGGCCTAACAACTTCATTCCACATGCACTTACAGTAAGAACTGGGGACACTGGCACAAGCCCTTACAGAAGAAGAATAAGGAAATTAACAAAAAAAGAACAGAACGATAAAAAAAGAAGAAAGAGCGGGAAATTCGAAGGAAAGCGGCATCTTCAAGATAGAGAAACCGTTACTATTGATCCTCATCCTTTTTTTCATTCATTCATCCTTTCGTTTTCTTTTCTTCAGCCCTTATATCATTTCTTTTGTTTTTCCTCGCTATCGAGCAGTGTTGTACCCTTCATTGTTTTGCTTTGTTATTTCTTCTCTACCCGCGTTAGCTCGTGGACCCCCCAATGAAATGAAACATTGTTTTGATATTTATTTTGTTTCGCTCCAGTCTCCTCCTATTCTTCGTGGAGTGGTGCGCTCTTTGGTTTAATTTTCTGTTTGGACTAGACGCGGATACTGTGTATTTATGGGTGGATATTTTATTCCAGTGCGGATTTGCTTTGTTGACTTTGTACTTGTCGGCAAGAAGAAAAATCAGTTCAATTTGTTTTGCAGGACAAAGAAAAATTTTACCTTTTTTTTTGTACCCGTCTCTCTGTCTTATCCCCAAAGAAATGTTTGAAATCACTTGGGCACACATTGGGATTTACGCTCGCGTCAGTGTGTGTTTTTGGAATGAGATTGGATTGGAAATTCGTGGTTGACAGTCTTTCTGAGCATTGAACTGATTAATTTATCCGTTAAAAAAATATTTTTGTTTTCGAATGCATGCATTTAAAAGAATTCGATGGGAAATGAAAATGTTTAATGAAATATAAATATTTATAAAAAAGATATATTGATATGTATCAAATTTACTCAGTTAAATTTGTAATATTTAGTTGTGTTTTGTTATTAATATTATGTAAGTTATATTTTGTAATCAAATAAATGAAATTGTCCTTTTAAATAAATTTCTTTGAATCCATTTTTAAATTTTCACTAAAATTCATATCATTTTTAAAAATTCACATCATTTTTAAAAATTCCCTAAATTTCACATCATTTTTAAATTTTCACTAAAATTCACATCATTTTTAAATTTGCACTAAAATTCACATCATTGTTAAATTTTTACTAAAATTCACATTATCTTTAAAAATTCATAAAAATTCACATCATTTTTAAAGTTCACTAAAATCATTTTTAAAGTTCACTAAAATTCACATCGTTTTTTATAAATTCAGAATGAATTGAGTTGCGTTATTATTATAAATTCAATATGCTTTATATACAGTAATTGTAGAGAGTTTAGGAAATATTACAAAGAATTATATGAAATAAGTGACATACTATGAAATGTACCATAAATTTAAAAGTGAACTATAATTATTTAAATACAAAAATATCAGAAAAAAATTAAAAATAAAAAAAAAACGAATATTCAAAATAAATCAAATAGATTTTTTTGAAACTGTGTTAAATAATAAAATAATTAATAAAATAAAATTAATAGTGATTTAATAATAATAATTAATAAAATATATTGTTGTTGTTGTTTCTTATCCCACTTGGCTGGCCAAGCCCACGAGCCCATATTGGACTCATGATGGAAGGGGAAGGAAGCAGCTTCTGTTGTGATGGAGCACCCGTAGGTAGAAGCCTGACTTTGGCTCCGTGACGCTCTTACAGTCATAGGAGACCGGGACCTACGGCTTAAAGTGGATTCCGAACCACTACAAACATCCATGGCACCGCCGGGATTCGAACCCGAAACCTGTGGCACCGAGCGCTAGACACTCGGCCATTCAGGTCCCAAATTTGCCAACGGCACGCAGTGTTCCCAGGTGGTCACCCACCAAAGTACTGACCGCGCCCAATGATGCTTGACTTCGGTGATCTAACGAGAACCGGTAAAAACCGGAACCGAATAAAATATATAATTAATAATAAACATTCAAAGGTAAAAGTATGTGTCTACTTGGAGTTCCAGGGATAAAATCCTGTACCTCCATTTCCATAATTAATATTAAGATTTTATACATAACAGAGAAATTAAAACTAATTAAATTAATTAGATTAAATTAAATGAGCCTTATGCTCAGTATGATAATAGAAGAGAGAATTTAGATATTATATTTTACATTTTAAAATCCTTTGCACAATGTTATATCTGAAAATTTTTTGTAAAAAGGTAATTATAGGGAAGGGATGCAGAGTTTGTTTGCAAACATTCAAAAGGTCCATGAGTTTCTTAAAATCTAAAGCATTAATCAAAATTTTTAATTATAATTTCAATCTATCTTTTTCAGTATTTATTATGTGAGCTGTTTTAGGTCTTTGAAACTACTATTAAAATATTTCTTGAAAATCATTTGTTCTCCAGCATATAAATTCTAGCAACTTTATAAAATTCTCACCAAAAAATAATTATAAGAGAAAAAATAACAAAGGTAAGGTAAGATAAAGATACTAAGTGATATTACAACTCCTTTTAAAGTCATGAAATCCACTAGAAATACACAACACCAAACAGAAATATCGAAAATCAAAAAGTAGATGATTTTTTGATAAGCACCCGAAGCTTTTTCGAAGACGATTTTTGATAAGCATCAAGCCCAGCTGGAACCATCTGTCGCATTTTCCAACATATTTTGGTGTAAAAAAACCCAGGAAATTATATTATTTCCCATTTTATATTAGAAAAAGAATGAAAAAGAAACACAAATTTATTTTTTAAAATTTCATTCAAGTACAATTTTTTGAAACAGCATTATACTAGTATATTAAAATAAAATTAATTAAATCGTACATTTTCTAAATTCTAAGCCGACAAATAAAGGTTTAATCTAAACGAAAAATAATTCAAATAAAATGATTGAGTATGTCTGATTAAAATTATTGATATTGATTTAATAACCAAGATGGTATTTGGCAATGAGATATAAGTTAATACCTTCGACTGGGGTTTCTCAAGCCGCAAAAAGTTATATTATATTTAAACTTTTGATGGTGTGTAAATGAATAACATTTTAGATAAGAATCTAACTTTTTGAAAAAATCAAATCAGTACGAAAAACTAAAAGAACAGAGACAGAAAAGGTTATCATCATAACCACCATCATTGGCCAACAGCCCATGGGCCAAGACCGTCTGCTTACTGGAAGATTTATAGACAGAAGATGGTTTCTTTTAAGGGGTAGGGTTGTCAGCCCTACGTCCAATGCTCTTGCAGTCTTACTAGATTGGGACTTACTATTCAAAGTGAATTCCGAAGCACTACAAACACCAATGGCACAGCCGAAACTCGAACCGGAAACCTGTGGCATCGAGCACCAGAGCGCTAGCCACTCGGCCGCAAAACAAAAGTAAAAAATAATTTTTAAAATCAATAATAATTTCAGAAAAATAATGAAATAGTCTTATTTTGAAAGTTTTCATTCAAATAAAAAAAATATTAAAAATAGAAAGAATTAATAGAAAGAAAAGAATAGAAGAATTAAAAAATTTGCAAAATTCTAAATCAACAATTAAAATTTTACAATATACAATTTCAGAATACTGAAAAATAAAAGTTTCTGCAATTAATGTTTATATATAATAAACATTAATTGCAGAAATTTTTGTGGACAATATTTATACATTCAAAAAATACTGCATGAAAATCGTTTATTATCTTCTAGAGAGAAGACGAATCTTAACAGCTCTCCAAAAATTCTCCCCAACAAATAATTATCATAAGAGAAAAGACGTCAACGATGGCAAATTCCCAAGGCTTTACCAAGATAGATTGCAAATCCTTTCAGAGTCATTCAATTCACCAGCGATTGGCAAAGGCAGCAAGGAGAAATATTGAAAATCAAAAACCCTTCCTCCCCAAGATGGCTTTTGATAAACATCAAGCACAGCAGCAGAATTCTTTGGCAAATCTCAACGTATTTTGATGTAAAAGTCTTAAAATAAAGTTATTAATGCAAGAGGAGAATTCCCCTCCGAGTCCCCATCTATCGCGGAGATTTGAGTTATTTCGGATTAAAATGAGTGATATCTATTTAATAAGGACGATGGTATTTGGTGTGAGAAGACATGGGTTAATGCATTCGATAGTCAAGATTTCCCAACGGATTATATGCAGGCCGCAAAAGAATAGATTTATTTCGCGTTTAAACTTTTGGTGTTATGTTAAAATGTTACTAAACTATCATAAAGGATATTATTTTGTGAAAATAAAAAGAATTAAAACGTTAAGCAAAGCAAAAACATCAGATAAAGTAACACAAAATTTCTTTAAATTTTTAAAATTTCATTCAAAAAGAAAATAATACAAGTATGTGCAAAACCCTACAAGTACACAAATAAACCTTTTACACATTAATCTGTTCAATTTTTTTTGTTTAAAATTAATAGAATATTTGATTTTATAGAATATTTGAAAATCACTTATCCTCCAGAGTAAGAATTCTATGTATTTTCATAAATTTTCAGTAACAAATAATTCACAAGTTAAAAGACGCATATTCCCAGTACATATCAATACAGACTGCAAACTTTTTCATAGACATCTAAATCTAACAGTTCTTGAAGACAACAAATATAAATATTAAAAATCGAAAACCATTTCTCCTCAAGATGTTTTTTTTTAATGCACAAACAAGAATTCATCAACATATTTTGATGTAAAAGTCCTCAAAAATGAAACATAGTTTCAAAGTACAAAACCATACAAATAACCAAATAAACATTTTATAATATAATCTGTCCAATTTCTTTTCCTTATAAACACTAATAAAATATTTGAATTTGCAGAACATTTGAAGATCTTTTATCCTCCAGAGTAAGAATTCTAAGTACTTTCAAAAATTTTGACCAGCAAATAATTTCACAAAGGAGAAGCCCATATTCCCAATACGCATCAATACAGACTGCAAATCTTTTCATAGACATCTAATCTAAAAGCTTTTGAAAACAACTAAAGAAATATTAAACATCATTTCTCCTCAAAATGGTTCTTTTTAATTCACAAACAAGAATTAATCAACATATTTAGGTGTAAAAGTCTTCGAAAAATTGTTAAGGTAAGAAGAGAATTCCCTTTGAGTGCCATTGATGATAAAATGTTTGACTATTTCGGATTAAAATCAGTTACATCTATTTAATAAGCAAGATGGTATTTTGCAAACAGACATAAGTCATTGTAATCGATTGTGATATTTCCCAATGGATTACTCATGCCGTAAAAGAATATTGATATTTTCCCTTAAAACTCTAGATACTTTATAAAAAGAGTGCTTTTCATGAAAAAAACAAACAAACATAAATGCAGTATCTAAATGCAAGATAAAACCAAAATGGAAAAGCAAAATCCATGCAAGGTAAGCTGCATGTAATAAGTAATACAAGCATAAAGATATTTTAAGACGATACATTAATGCATAATAAAGTAATCCTAATAGCTCGTTTAGTTTAGAAGTAAAAGAAAACGAAAGCATTTGTTTAGGATATCCTAAGAGATTATTTTGCTGTAAAAGAATAAGAATTGCATTAAAGTATTAAGAAGATATTGTATATTTGCTTAAGTAAGGAATAATCAAACCTATAAAATAACTATTTAATTTGCTTAACAGAATTATTTGGTTTGTGCTAAACCTTATAAAATATAATGTCGTTTGTTAAACTTACTTATAAAGCTGTGGAGATTTGAAAGTACATCAAAGTAAATAATTCCTTTGTTTTGGAACATTTGAAATGTGAGAAAGTGAGAAATAAAATTAAACAAATAATGGATTATAATTACATTGTTGTTCTCAATGCAGACAAAAAAATTAATTTTTACAAATTAATTAAAATTATAAATCATTACATCAATGATTATTATTATATCAATGAATATAAACATTATTTAAAAAACAATTAACTAACGAAATCCCTATCACTACAGCCCAGGTCTACTAGCAGATTTCGAGATAGGAGATGGTTTTCTTTTTACAGGATAGGATTATCTGCCCTACGCCTAGCGCTCTAGAGTCATATTAGACTGGGACTTACGGTTTAAAGTGAAATCCGAACCTCTACAAGCATCCATGTCACCACCGGGACTAGAGCCCGAAACCTGTGGCACCAAGAGCTAGGGCGCTAGTCACTTGGGCACCAGATCCCTATAATTCATATTAACATGCAAATATTTTAATAGCAAATTATTAAAATTCATATGCTCCATACACAGTTCGTCAAAGCCAATATTAAATTATAAACATATAAAACAAAGGAAAAAAATTGATCATAATTCTAGAATTCTCAATTTTGTCAGCAAATGGAATTTTATTTATAAAGAAAAGAAAGCAAAGCAAAATATTATTATATGCTGTAATAAAATGTTCCAATATTTTATATAGTGCAAATTTAATGGTCAGATACAAATTAGATTTATTACATTATCTTAATGTTTTATGTATAGTTAAGTCACATAAACAAGATCCTATATCCTTTAGACACAATTAGGTTTAAATCAGAAGCAAAAGCTCAATGAATGATAAAGGTATATAGACGTCGTTAACTATACATTTATATAATTAAAGATCTAGAAGATATATCAAGATGTCAAGCAGCCATCCTCACTGTACAGTAGGTCCATACCTCAACCTCCCCGTTACATAATAATGAAATACATAACTCTAAGATTTTCTTTCTTTTGTGAAGGTGCGCCAACAGGAATATACTGGTGTCTAAATCCTGCCTTCTGGCTGTACAAGTTGATTGAACCTTCTTCAAAGATTTCCCCAAAATAATAATAAAAATAAATTATATTTTGCTTTAAAACTAATCTCTGTGTCATTTCTGCTGAATAATACGTTAATATAGCGTCCAATGACCATCCTTCAAGTTCTCGTAATAAATAGCGTTCCAGATAAGGTAGAGG